GTACTTGAGTTAGGTTTTGATTAGAACCTTGTAAAGTCTAATAAACCCATAAGATAGAGAACTCACTGAGGTTATTATCTCACCCCGTGTTTGTTGATTATTTTCAAGAAGTTCTGAGTAGATGAAGGGTAAGGACAAGATAGCTTGATGTCCTTGCTTACTTGGCTATTTTGGATGGTTTTTCACTGTCTAGATATCTCTTTTTGTGATCATTCTATAATGATCTAGTTCCTAGTTTTATTTTGGGTACCCTTATATATATTGTGCCATAGATGTAGTTTCATTTTGGGCATGTAATATGTACAATGTTGCCACTAGGCACTTATGTATCTCAATACCAACATTATAATTGTGTATAATATGTATATCTAGATATGTATTATATATGGGTGTTACAAAAATAAATGTTTATATTAAAAAATTTATTTCATTAAATTGATGGTGGCGGGGCGGGGATACCCAAATGTGTTTGGGACGAATTTGGGTTTTAAATTTCCACCCCGTTGAGGATCTGAGCGGAGAATGCAGATTATTTGGGGATTCATGTTTTGGTTTGGGGGAGATAAAAATCCTCCCCGACCCACTCCGTTGCCATGCCTAATTGTGAAACTCATACCTAACCATAACCTTTCAACCACTACCACTTGTCACAGATCTCATCTCAGCAAAAATGGACATTTAACTTTTATAATATAACTGTCATCATGAGAATTCTTATTTTTGTAGTTTCCTCCTCTCTCACAACCTATAATCAATTTATCTCTCCTAATTCTGATCTCATTTGCAGTATCTGAACGAATAGTAACAACAATAATACCATGTTGTTTACCAATGTACTGTACCCATGCTAACACGTCAACTCGGGAGGGAAATATTTATCATCTACAACATATACAAAATAAACTATCAATGTTAGAGATGCCAAAAGGATATTAAGTTTTGAACAAGTTAAAATGAAAACATCTAAGTAAAACATACAACACCAGTGGTGAAAAACTGTGTAAAATCTGCAGAGAATCATCAAGATCTAGACCGCAAAATTGAAGCATTCTAACCTACCTGATTTTTCATAGCATGTGAAAATTTGGTAAATCGGAAGTTTCAGAATATTTGGATTTTTTTGGTATATACCGCTTTTTAGAAATATTCGGTAGAAGCAATAGGTTTGCTAGGAATATCTGGTTTTCCGAAAAATCCAGTATAACTATTCGGATTTTTGAAAAATACAGTGAAAACGCAAATAATTTTAAGAAAATATCGATTTTTTTTGAGATGGGAATGGACCGGATAATGGGGAGACTAATACCCACCTAAACCCACATCGTTTATTTCCTTATGCACTTTATTATTTAGTTTTAATAATTTATAAATTAAATATGTGATCATTTTTTAATATTTTAATTTATATTTATTATTTAAAATATTTTAAATGTATGTATGAAATTTTTTGAGATGGTTTTATTTTATATTTGTAATATAATTTGATTTTGAAAAAAAAAATTGTAATATCCCGTGTTTCCTTAAATGCTCAAATCCACATCAATGTAGATCAACTGAGTTCTTATTTTTGAAAGTTATCTGTTGGGATAAATAAAGTAACTGGTGAACTCATATTGACTTAAATAAATAATGTTTTGAAACTGACCTTTTATTAATTGGTACAAGAAGATACGTTTTGATAACATTAATAATGAGTCAATTACTCTAGTAGAACAAATATTAAAGTGTATTAGCACTTGAGATATTTGTTACTACCTTTGTCAATTTTCATCCACACAATTATACCACTCTTTGTGTCCACATGTTTCTACCACACAAACTCCTACCAACCTTTTGCATCTTCTAACTTTGACAGTGTATCAGTAGAAGAAAAACAAAGAGAAAACATAGAGAGAAAGAAGAGGAGCTCGTGGAAAGAAGAAGAAGAGGAAACTTGAAGGAACTTAGTAAACTTGGAATCATAATCAGCTCATCACTTTCCAACAATCTCTTCATCTCTTACTAAGGTGGGTTCTAGTTAGACAGTTTGTCATTTTTAGAAGTTAGGGTTGGTTGAATCATAGAATAGTTAGTAAAATCCATGATAGTATGATGAGTATTCTAGGTTGATAATGATAATTACCTTGAGCATATGATTTACTATGTTCGCCATGATTCTTCTGTTCTCATGATTGAATGTTGTTGTTGTTGTTATGACTACATGTCATTGATATACTCTTTCCTTGTGGTTGCTTGAACTATATATGGTAGAATAATTGGTTGAAGTGTAAGAGTTGAACAATTGGTAAATGGAAGTTGCAGAGGAAAAATTTATTGAAAAGGTGCAGGAAGCAATCAATTAGTCTTGGTATTCCTTCCAGGCCAATCAATTGGGAAGAGCTACTGGCTTTTAAGGAAAAATGAAATTTTTCGGGAACCAAACCATTGGCCCTTGCCTACAATCGATTGGAATTTTTGTTTTATTTTTAAAAGGAGAATTGTGAAGCTTAACCACTCGATTGGTCTTGCTCCCACAATCGATTGGCTTATGTGTTTTGTGTTATAACTTTGTTTGGATGACTCCTAATGCACTAAAACAACTTCTAAACATTTTCCATTACATATATGCTTTGATTTAACAATAATAGGATGAAATATATGACGAACTAAATGAGTTAACCTAGTGATCTGATTAGGTTAAGAAGTTAGAAATATGACTTAGATAACATTAGACGACAAGTTTTCTTCGATATGATACGTAGGTGAGTATCATGGATGAATGATCGCCATTGTTAAGAGTGAAATGCCTTGTATGAAACATGTTGTGTTGTTGTGTGATTAAGGGGAATGTAATCACCTTGTGATTTTCGAATACAATCACGTTGTGTTTCTATCTAGTGACATAGTCAGAAACAACCCCTTGATTGTGTCGTCCCAAGTTGCGATACTTATATAGACTAAGAATTGGGATGTACACACCTATACTTCATTTGACATGGGTTAGAGTCCTAAATGCGGTAGACCCCAAAGTGAGTTAGAGTCCCATACGGGTAAAAGGCTCGAAATGGTTTAGAGTCCCATAGGGAGCAACGATTCTTAAAGTGAATGTTATCACTTGGAATCCGAAGTCCATGTGTTGAAGTATGATACAAGGATCTGTGACCCGTGTCGATAATCCTAGACGTAGGGTTGGCCAGGGAAAGATACTTTAGTATGATTTTTGATTAGTGATTGTTTGAGTTAGATGAACTCAAGAGACATGTTTCCATATATTGCGAGTTTTATTTACTCAAGTCTTTTACCCTTTGTACTTGAGTTAGGTTTTGATTAGAACCTTGTAGAGGCGAATAGACCCATAACATAGAGAACCCACTGGGATTATTATCTCACCCCATGTTTGTTGATTATTTTCAAGAATTTCTGAGTAGATGAAGGGTAAGGACAAGATAGCTTGATGTCCTTGCTTACTTGGCTATTTTGGATGGTTTTTCACTGTGTAGATATCTCTTTTTGAGATCATTCTATAATGATCTAGTTCCTAGTTTTATTTTGGGTACCCTTGTATATATTGTGCCATAGATGTAGTTTCATTTTGGACATGTAATATGTATAATGTTGTCACTAGGCACTTATGTATTTCAATATCAACATTACAACTGTGTATAATATGTATTTCTAGACATGTATTATATATGTGTGTTACAAAAACAAATATTTCTATTAAAAAAATTGATTTCATTAAATTAATGGTGTCGGGGCGGGGATACCCGGATGCGTTTGGGACGGATTCGGGTTTTAAATTTCTATCCCATTGGGGATCTGGGCGGAGAATGCAAATTATTTGGGGATTCATGTTTTGGTTTGGGGGAGGTAAAAACCGTCATCGACCCGCCCCGTTCGCATGCCTAATTGTGAAACCCGCACCTAACCATAACCTTTCAACCAATACCACTTGTCATAGATCTCATCTTAGCATAAATGGACATTTAACTTTGATAATATAACTGTCATCATGAGAATTATTCTTTTTGTAGTTTCCTCCTCTCTCACAACCTATAATCAATTTATCTCTCCTAATTGTGATCTCTTTTGCAGTATCATAATGAATAGTAACAACAATAATATCATGTTGTTTACCAATGGACTGTGCCCATGCTAACACGCCAACTCGGGAGGAAAATATTTGTCACGTACAACACATACAAAATAAATTACTAATGTTAGATACCAAAAGGTTATTAAGTTTTGAACAAGTTAAAAAGAAAACATGTAAGTAAAATATACAACACCAGTGGTGAAAAATCATGTAAAAACTATGTAAAATCTACAGAAAACCATCAAGATCTAGACCACACAAATGAAGCATTCTAACATACCAGATTTTTCACAGCAGGCGAAAAATTGGTATATCGAAATTTCCAAAATATTTGGATTTTTTCGGTATATACCACTTTTTTAGAAATACTAGATAGAAACAATAGGTTTGCTAGGAATATTTGGTTTTCCAAAAAACCCAGTATAACTATTCTAGATTTTTGAAAAATACAGTAAAAATGCAAATAATTTTAAGAAAATATCGAACTTTTTGGAAATATGCAATGAAAAAACAACAAAATATCGGGTTTTTTTTCCAAAAATTCAATAAAAACTCATACTGGATTTTAAAATATCGAGTACAAATTACATGAATTTCACCTTCTCCGAAATTTTTTCGTACTGAATTTTAGGCATAACTATCGAATTTTTTTTATCGGTTTTTCAAAGTGAAATTTTTTAACTTGATATAAATTTTTAAAAGGTAAATAATACAAAAGATATTTTTATTATTTTAGAAACTAGTGGGAGTACCATGTCAAACTTTGATGGTGTCCGGATAAAAAAATCTCAAACAATTAACATGACTGATATTTTTACTCTTGTACAAAGAGAATATCCGATACATATAAAAAATTCACATATAATCTTACATAGATAGATGTCAAAGAATATTCAGCGTAAATAAAAAATCATATATTGAGTGATTAATCTTGTGTTGTGTATATGCCTCTAGTTTCTACGGTATAGTCTTTATTTTGAATGTGGTTTTTCTTGAGAGCAGTGAACTTGACAGCAATGTCCTCATAATCTGGCAACTTAGGATGAACATGATTAGGATATTGTTGACATGAATATGTCCGTAACATATCTTTCCCTTTTCTATGTCTCTCCTGTGGCATTGTCATGGCCCTTGAATATGAAACTTCCTTTTCAGTTCTTGTCAAAGAACCATTAATCTTTGGATCAGAAACACTGATGCTGGCAATAATCTCTTCTTTTGTTTCGTTGTTTCCATTATTCCCAACCTCACAAAATGGTCTACAATGACAGCATTCATTATGCATACAATCTTGTTCAACATGTGACTTAGCTTCTATCAAAGGTTCAGTTTCCAGTGAGTCTTTGTTATCATAAAGATAATAGTAACACGGTTTGTCCAAGCTGCATCCTTTAATTTTTCTGTTGAAGTTTATTCGCCTCGTGCTATCTTCACTCTTTATCTGGTTTTCCGCGGATTCATTTTTCGTTGTGAGATTATCCTCTTCGAGCCGAGTTTTGAATCCGACTACGCTATGTTGTAGAAGACTAGCCTCTTCCTCTTCCTCTTCTGCTAGACACAACCTTGGTTGGTTTCTATATTTGTTCTGACCTGATTGTAAATTTTTTCGCCCATGTAGTATCGGTTTCTTCTGGTTTTTTCCACTGTCAGGAACACTAACATTCTTCTGATTTCTGCATGGCTTTTGATAATAAACCATGTATCCAATATCAATAACGCCTACATTTTTTATGGAGGATGGTCTTCTTATTGATCTTTTCCTATGTCCTCTTTTGCTCCTTCTTGAGGTCATTGTGTTTAACGACTCACACAACGATTCGTCTTGATCAATATAACTTTCGCCGAAACCAGTTTTAGTTTTTTCTCTACCAGAAAGAGATGAAGAATTGTACTCGAATAGCATTTCTTTGTGGCAGGCAGCGTATTTTGGTAATGAAAATTGATACTCCTCAACCTCTTCAACATAATCTACCATTTCTGAAGAAAGTAGCTTAGGAAAATCTACCTCAACTATTTTCTCGAATTTATCTTGCAAAGGATAGCTCAGAATATATTGAGGATATTGCGGAACAATCGACATTATAGCAGAAGAATCAACAGCAAAGGTTGATTTGGGAAGAGCATTGCAAGAGTCACATGGCTTGGAAATAAATGATGAATGAACACATTTGACACCTCTTTCCATCTCATCAATATGTGATGAATGGACTTTAGATTCTGAAATTGAGGCATTTACTTTTGGATCATTTTCCACTACTTGATACCCTTTGTTTTCTATATGCTGCACAAATACATTCAACATTATTTGCTACTACTTATTTTAATAAGATCATAATTTCATGAATATTATTACAATAACTATAGTTTCGAACCTGCACTTGTTGGCAATCAGGGTAATATTCTATGGCTAAAACGTTTTGTTGGAGACAGTTATTTTCTCTAGCAATTTTGTTCACCATTGCGTACTTCAAATCCTCGGTCACACATTTTTCTGATAAATTCTCTGTCAACTATAATTTTTATGTTTCATGAGTATTGTGTCGATCATGTACATATCAGACACCGGACATTTCTTCAATCTAAAATGTCAAAATAAATGAAAAAAATAGTACCTGCTTGTTTACAAAATTCCCAGGATATAACTCAACCGCGGCCTTTGCAAATTTCTCTCCATATCGTCTTCCAAATAATTGCCTGATGACAGAAAGCTCCGGAATTTCGCCACATCTTGCAGATGCAAATATAAGACTAGAAACCGCTACTTTAATATCATTTGGACAGTCCCTGATTTTGAAATTTTGAATCACTATAAATTTTTGAGAAGTGTGACAAGTATTTAACAAAATCACATTAGGTATCCTAATTTCATCAAAATCACATCATTCCAAACATGCACGTAAAATAGATTAGGAAGAAATCTTTACTTGTGCCTTCGAATATAAGACAACTGTGATAGAATAAATTCACAGAATTTTTCTAACAATTCATACGCATCTGCCATGCTTTCATCTTTTATTAACTGCTCAACCTGAAATAAACATGATTGTGACTTGTGAAACAAGCTAGTAAATGTTATGCATTAAACAAAAGCATTGTGAAGTTTCCATCAGGAAAGGTTCTAATATAAAGAAAAATCATATCAATAAATTACCCGATTAAGCGCAGTTTCTTCACGACCGCTTTGTATTAACTTCGCCAAATCATTTCGCAGTTGCTTAACTATTGTTTGTCTCTTGCTCTTGAGAAACCCGATTCTGTAACATGCTTTCTTTATAGCGTTCTTACTGTAAAACAAGGAAATTGTATATTATAAACACCTCATAAAAATGAAATGATATAACATGCATGAGTAGTACTAATAGTATAGTTACCATTTCGAAGCCTTGGACCAACCGAACAATATCTCAAACATATCTAAAAAGGAAGAGAGTTAAAGATGAGTTAGTTTTGGAGACAGAAAGAGTAAAATGATGTGATGAGAAAAAGATGGAGAAGGAAGAAGATGAAGAACCAGGAATAGAGTATTCGGTGGTGCTTGTTTGGTGTAGAAAAGAGTGGTTTGTGTGGTCTTTGTTTCTCGATCAAATAACTACTCCACACACATTTCTTCTTCGTTGCATGTTTTAAGGACACATGTCAATTTTGCGTATTGCTTTTACAATTTTAATTGTTCATGTTTGTGTCCACGATGGCCATTATTACCAGTACAATATACCACGAATTAATTACCACAATGTATTATTATTAAAAAGTTTGTTTGAATTAGATCAAATTTTAGATTTATTTTTTAAAATAAAATCGAATTAAATTGTGTGTAGATTTTAATATTTATTTATTTATATTTATATTTTAATTTGTATTATTTTTACTATTTATTTATTTTATTTAATATATTTGTTTTTACTATTTTATTTATTTTTTTAATATATTTGTTTTTACTTATTTCAATGTAATATTAATTATTAACATATTATTTATTTCAAACCAATGTGATTGTCACATGCTCTCTTGTGTACTTCTGTAAGCATCAGGGCAGTTTCTTATACAACCCTTTAAGCGAAGACCCAATTCAAAGCATAGATGAGTCCAATAGTGGTAAAGAAGGGGACAACCCAAAACGTGCCAGAAGACAAATTAAGAAACCTGCTTGGATGAAAGATTACCACTACTAAATAAGAGTATTAGCAGGAATATGCTTTTGTTTTTACATTTTTCTTCTATTATTTTCATTCCATAAATTAGGCAAGTTATTGCTATTCCCATTCCATAAATTAGGCAACTTATTATGCTAGTATTGCACTATATAGCTTGTACGGGAGAATTGTTATTCATGAAGAATTATAAAAGAAAGATCTCATTCCTTTTTTAGATTCTCTTTTTTTTTCTTCCTTTAATTCTTGAGGAGTTGACACTCACTCGAAGAGTGCTAAAACCTGTGATCATTATGCAGCAGAGTGTATAATTGGTGCTTTCATTATGGATCTCCCTGAAATGATGAGCGCCCTTCAATCCAAATTTGATGCGCAATCGGAAGAGTTTCGTGTTCTGCTTCGATCCTCACTCGAGTCACACTCGGATTCGGTTCACTCCACTCTCCACAATCATTTGCGTGAGGTGGATTCCAAGATCTCCTCAATTCATCCAGGAAAGAAGTCTTCCCACTCTGATTCGTCTGGTTCTATAGTGCGATCTATGAAGCTCAGCGTACCAAGATTCGATGGATCAAATCTTACAAATTGGTTGTTTCAGACTCAAGCTTTTTTTATTTTCATGATACTCCAGTGGATTCCCGTTTCCAGATCATTTCCTTTCATTTGGACGGTCGGGCAGTCGCGTGGTTTCAGTGGGCCATGCGCAACAACCTCTTACCTTCGTGGTCGGTTTTTCTTGATGTTGTTCACCATCGCTTCGGCCCTACAGTGTATGAAGATGTAGAGGGTGACTTATCGAAGCTATCGCAAACGGGATCTGTCGATTTTCAAGCTCAGTTTGAAGATTTAATGAATAAAGTTACGGGTATCTCTAGAGCCTTGCTTATTAGCTTCTTTACCACTGGTCTCAAACACAATCTGCGTCGAGATTTACAATTTCACCGTCCTCTGACGTTAATTGAGGCATTTGGAATGGCCAGGGCCTGTGAAGCTCGTTAGGATGACAACCCAACACAAAGTAAAAGTTGGCCTCGGAGTCCAAATTTTGTTGTTAACCTAAATACTGGAACGCAAATACCCAACTCGACTCACAACACTAATTCTTCACCTAAACCAAATTCCTTACCGCCACTCTTACCCACCCCTACATCGACAACCTCTGTTCGCAACGAACCACCATTAGAACTCAGGGATCACCGCACTAAGGGTTTATGCTTTAAATGTGACGAGAAGTGGAATCTGTCTCATCAATGTCGTAGTCGCGTCCTTCTACTTTTTGAGGTTAAGGACGACGAAGTGGCAATAGAATCAGAGGATCCAATACATGAGGCAATATCAGGTGACATTTCCAGCCTTCACGCACTCGCCAGTCAGTTACAAAGCCGCTCTCTGCGTGTTGTAGGGGAATGTCTTCACCACCAATTCCCAATCCTCATTGATAGTGGGAGTACCCACAATTTCATCAAACCAGCCTTGGCGGAACAACTGGGGTTGCCAGTGACTCCTTGTGATCGTTTCAAAGTCGTGACTGGGTGTGGTACTTTTTTGGCGTGTCAACTATGTCATACAACAACTCATTTGCTCATTCAAGGTATTACATTTCCTGTTGATCTATTTGTACTCACAATTGAAAGTCCAGATGTTGTTCTTGGTTTTCCTTGACTTCAATCTTTGGGAAAAGTTGCCCATGATTATTCTGCACTTACTATGGAATTTATTTGGAAGGTGTAATACCCCAAATTTTGCCCTGAGATTATTAGGTTCATTTCACACGTTATCTCATTCTGCATTGCATTGTAAACTAACCGCTAACCAGTTTGCTCAGTCTGTTGGTTTTGCAGGAAAAATCATATTGTGGGCGATTTAATTGATGAAGGGCAAAAAGGGTCATTAATTTGCAGCCTGCTGACAATTTGAGAAGCTGAGTCGTCATCAGGAGTTCTTCAAGTGGTTGGGGTTTCCATCTCCGAGTCATGTGATTTATTTAGGACGAGCTGAATTTTACGGCGGTTTTGACGTCAGATTTCTCGTGACACAACATGTTTTATTCAAGAGCCGAGATTCAGTCGTCAGTTGGACTTCAAAAATGTTGTTTGATTCCTAAACTATATGGAGATGAATGTGTTGAAATATCAGTGGATTCAGGTTAAATCGGTGCGAGGGTTTGCTTTGAAGAATTTATTTTAACAGACACACATTTTCCTACTTTCTGTTGGTCAATGGTCGATTTTAAAGAAAACAATGGAATCTCGGTGTACGTTGAATTTAGGGTGAATCTCTGTTGGTTTGGTCAGGATTGTTAGCCGAGCTGGTTCAGGTTACCGAGTTAAATCGTCTGGGATACAATTTGAATTTTTCAATGCAGATGACAGTTTGTTTTTCCGTTTAATTGATTTTCTCTGCTTATCCGAACCAAGGCCATATTCACAGACTTTATTATCGAGTACGAATTGATTTGCAAGAGGTTTTGAGCTCAGCAGTTATGTCGGGTTTAAATCATGCAAGATGGTTTAATGGTCAAATTCGAAGTTGGAACGTCACATTTAGTCGGACCAATTTAATTAAGTGAATTTATTCGGTTAAGCTTAAGCGGATGAATTATTGGGAAAATTAATCGGAGACGTCGAATTGAGAATTGAAGTCGGTTTGTTGAAAATTGGAATTTATTCATTAAATTCTATATTTCTTACGAAGTACAAGAAGGAATTCAAAAATTGAGTTTATTAAATGTTATTCTTTACAATATTACAATGTTACAAAAAATAGTAATTACAAAAATAAATTCCTAAATTCCTACAAGGTTCTATTTTTCCTAAAGTCGTCTTCAAATCCGATTTCTTCAAAGTTTCGATTTCTCGAACCTGCAAAACAATTTAACAGATGAACATAATAGAAGGAGTTAAAATGGATTTTTTCAGCTCCGATACCCTCAGTTAGTTGTCATCATCGGGTACGTCGGGAGGGCAATAGAATATTCCGCCGCTAGCTCCCGACTTATTCTTCCGACCTCGGCACAAGACCCGGCAGTATCTGTTCATTTTAGCCAGGAGAGAGAAAAAGTGATATTTGAAGAATAGTGATTTTGAAAATAAGTGCTTTTGGAAAAAACACTTATTCAAAAAATGCCAAACACTGCACAAACACATTTTCCTGAAATTTCTGAAGCCAACGGATCAAACCAAAATCCAACAAACCCAGTCAAGCCAAAACGCAAAAATTCAACAACCACAAAGCCATGGATTTCGCAACTTCCAAGCAACAACTTCGCAGCAAACAACAATTTCGCAGCCAGCGTAATAACTAAAGCAACCATTCCTGGGAATGATCCTGAAAAATCGTAACAACAAAACCATAAAAATTGCAACAGAAAAAGAACCCAGGCCCATAAAAGAAGATTAAGAATAATATAAGAGATCATTAGAACATCAGAGTAGGGATCATCGTCAAGAATCAGAAAACGGTGGTCGCCATCACCATTGAAACGAAACAACAATCATCATCATCGCGGAAATCACCATCATCCATCAACGGACGAAAACTGCGACGAACCACCCCAACCTCCTCAAGGCTTCATCATCGGAGTTCAACGAAAAACCCAGATCCGTTCATCAGCGGAAGGAAAGCCTCAGAACCGCGTTCATCACCGGCATCCACCAACGTTTCAACCGCTTCAAACCTCCCTGAAGAGGTGAGCAATTGATATTAATGTTTTTTCTGTTTCGCAACATCATGCAGGGAATCAAAAGCGGAAAGGCGAGTTGGCCGCCCATTCAATGGGCGAAAGAGGTAAAAAATAAAGGCAACCTCCCATTCAATACCCGGCTGTCCTGAAAAGCTGATGCAAGGTATAACTCTACCGCCCATTCAGTCCCCAGATGTTAGACATATTATATTTTATTTGAACGAGGAGTCTCCCGAGGAACTGAAAATTTATAAAACTAGAATTTATATTTTATTGCTTTTGCATGCTTTTTATTTCCTGATACTAATGATAATACTATCCATCTTCAATTTTTATCATTATTAGAAGATTTAAGTCAAATAAGTAGATATAGTTGGGGTGCTGCTACCTTAGCACATCTATACAGAAATTTCTGTAGATGCGCAAGAAAAAATGTGCATAATTTTGTTGGTTGTGACGTTTTGATTCAAGCCTGGGGATGGTCCAGAATGCCCAGACTGGCGCCAATAAACCCCAATCGATACCACTTTCCGTATGCCACCAAGTAAGTATACAAAACTTACGTGTATATACTTTTCA